CATAATCAATGTTTGTATACCTAACCCTGAATTGTACCCCACATCTTTATAATAAAAAATAATAATAATAACAAAAACAACCAAAAAAAATTAGCCGGGCGTGGTAGCACATGCCTGTAGTTCCACCTCCTTGGAAGGCTGATGGAAGACTGAGGCAGAAGGATCGCCTGAGCCCAGTAGGTCGACACTGGGGTGGCCCTGAGTGTGCCACTGCACTCCAACCTGGGAGACGGAGTAAGACTCCAACTCAAAAAAAAAAAAAAAAAAGAAGTAGATTTACTGGAGAAAAGAAAGGAACAAAGTGACTAAATGAAAACCAGAGGTACTATCAAAGCCCTGCCCTGGTCCCCCAGTGAATAACTGTGAAAGTCACGTGTGTTCCAGCAAACAAGTGCTCTCTCCCAGACACCTGTTCAAATGTAAGTCGGTGGGAGTCACCCTGCAACATGAAGCCACCACGATACCCTGGCCAACCTTTTGTGAAGCCTGACGAGAAAGCACGTCATATTTCTCCTTGAACGGGATGTTCCTTTCCTCGGGAGGTGCAGCATCTTCCCCAGAACAATTAGCATCACTTCTGCGGTAGAGCGGATAATGCTGCCCGGGATTTAAAGGAGAGTCACGTGGGATGTCACGAAGCCCCGACGGCTCTGCCGCCCGCCCTGTGCCCTTCCTCCTCAGCTCACCTGCAGGAGGACAGGAGCAGACATGGGTAGCGGCTGCCTGTTGCGACACCGGCTAGAACGATGTTCCTGCTGGGTACAAGTCAGGCCATCAATCATCGTTCATTCAAACGGCGGAAAGGCCAAGGAGCTGAGCGGTAAACAAAAACAGATGTGGGGATGGCAAACACCTGCGGCACAGATAACCTCCTACCTGTTGGGAGCAATTCAGCCTGTGGGAAATTTCGATGAGTTCAGCTTCTGCCTCAGAACAGATGACACAACTGTCCCCTTCCAGCGCGATGCTGTTGACCATCACGAAGCTGAAGCAGATGGGAACAAGCAGGTCAGGGCTAGTGTGGTTATGTGTTTTCTTTTCCTAGGGTTCCCACAAAAAGAAAACTATTCACAGTGTGAAGAAACAAGCCCAGAACACCTGTAAATCCCACCTAGTCTAATTTTTTTTAACAAAAATGGCATTGCTGGGAGTTGGTGTCCAAGACACAGTAAAAAGATTTTTAACCCTAAATTTGTGCAAAGTCTCAGATTACAGAAGCTCTGAGGTTAAACTGCCTCTAAGCCTAGCATCTAATGAGAACCTCATCTGTTCCAGTGCCTCCTCTGTAAAGGCCGGGATAAGAACAGGACACCTATACCATCAGCCGGTTGAGGACAAGATGACATGATATGGCAGGAGCTTAGAACACAGACTGTTGGCCGGGCGCGGTAGCTCAGCCTATCATCCCAGCACTTTGGGAGGCCAAGGCGAGAGGATTGCCTGAGCCCGGGGGCTCGAGACCGGCTTGGGCAACTTGGTGAGACCTCATCTCTATAATGAATCACAAAAACCAGCTGGACGTGGTAGCGCATGCCTGTAGTTCCAGCTACTTGGAAGGCTGAGGCGGAAGGATCCCCTGAGCCTAGTAGGTAGAGGCTATGGCGGCCGTGAGCGTGCCACTGCACTCCAGCCGGAAGACAAGAGTGAGACTCCAACTCAAAAAAAAAAAGAACACAGCATGCTGCTAGAACATATTTGGTAGATGTCAATTCAGTGTTGTTACTGCTGTGTAACGTGAACCACAGGGCACACCATACACAAACTCAGCTGGTCAGCCTCTGTAACAGCTTTACTTGAATTGTATGTTTGATGGACTCTCACTAAATATGACTTTACTTCCTACACACATGCCACCTAGGCACAAAGAAGGTGCCTGTCCATAAAGACTGCTTGAAGCGTAACCCATTTTAGAGATAAGGAGCTGAGTTATGTGAAACATGACAAACGTGTTTAAAGTTTCTTCAACACGGCCAGGCGCGGTGGCTCATGCCTATAATCCCAACACTTTGGGAGGCCGAGGTGAGAGGATTGCCTGAGCCCAAGGGTTCAAGATCAGTCTGGGCAACTTGGTGAAACTTCATCTCTACAATAAATAAAAAAATTAGCCAGGTGTGGTAGCGCATGTCTGTAGTTCCAGTTACTTGGAAGGCTGAGGCGGAAGGATCACCTATGCCCACCAGGTCGAGGCTGCGGCGGGTGTGAGTGTGCCACTGCACTCCAGCCTGGGCAACAGAGTGAGACTCCAACTCACACACAAAAAATTTATTCAACACTACATTTAGAGGGAATAACTCAAATTGTTTCCTGTCTCTTACTCAGGAAGGGAAGTTTCCTACTACAGACTCTCCCTCCAGGGAGCAGGAAGGAAAGGTGAGCATTTGCTGAGAACCCACCAGATAGAGATGACCTCACCTGACAGCCTAGGTTGCTGCTGTACCCAAGGTCAACAGCAGGCCAGGCACCCACAGGAAGAACAGGGTGAATACAGGAAAAGCTTCCTCTCCTACCTTTTTTCTCTCTACTGTTTCTACAACTAGGATAGTGTATATAGTCCTGCCCACACATGCTGTAGACACACACAGAGCTCCCAAAGGGCCTAGAAACAGGCACTGAAGTGGCCTAGCAGAGAGGGCACTGATGCTGATGGACAGGCTTAGGGTTCGAGTGCAGTGGTCTGAAAGGCAAGGCTGATGCGAACAGGCAGACACAGAGCTACAGAGGCATCGCAAACACTCTGCCACCAACTCCCAGGACCGCATAACCATGGGAACAGCCTTGGAAAAGTAAAATAAGGCCATTCTGATCAAATAAAAAGAGACTGCTTTACAAAGTGGGCTGATGACGTTCATACCACCCAGAGACAGTGCAGACTGAAAGTATGTCCTTCCTGCAATCGTGGGACAGAGCCCTAAGCCGACAGGAAACTCAGAGTGTCTTGAGGTTCCATCGCTCAGCTCCCACAGTGACCATCAGCAAGGACAGCCTGAGGGACAGTTGTTTCAAGATCACAGACCAGGCTAGATGGAACACAGATAGACAGATGGACCCAGCATGGCAGTCACCTTTATGAAATGAAGGTTCCTCGGACTAAGAGTCTTCATACGAATTGCAAAGGATACTCACTTAACACCTTTCCAGGAAAACAGCCTCTCAGAGTTGAAAACTTTCTCAAACCGTTTTACCGTGTATGTACTCATCCTATATTCAATCGCGAAAAGAAACATTTTTCAGGATAAACCATTTCAGAACTTTGCTGAGTTATCATGAACACAGAAAATAACTTTCAGGCCTTTAGTTTCAGACCAGCCCTTAGTAGTTAAGGGCTCCAACTGGCCCAGGCTATAGAAGCTAAAATCTCAGCTCCTTACAACTACTTACATGAAGCTGGAGCAAGAAGCTGCCCGCAGCCTCAGTTTACTCACTAGTACAATGGGTAAAATAACAGGACCATGGTAAAGACCAAAAGAGTTAGCATATGGACGTAAATACTTAGAACAGGATGGCACATTATAAGCACTAGAGCACTATACAAATGCTAGCTATTCAAGTGTCTAAGTGGTCTTGTTTTCTGATTACTTTGATTCCCAAAGAAAATAATTGGTCATTAAATCTAAGTTTCAAGGTAAAGGTTTCCCAAGGGCACAAGAAATTCATTCATTTGGCCCGGCTCAGTGGCTCAGCCTGTAATCCCAGCACTTTGGGAGGCCAAGGCAAGTAGATTGCCTGAGCCCGTGGGTTTGAGACCAGCCCGGGCAACTTGGCAAGACCTCGTCTCTACAATAAATCAAAAATTAGCTGGGTGGCTACTTGGAAGGCTGAAGCGGAAGGATCGCCGGAGCCCAGCAAGGTCGACGCTGGGGTGGCTGTGAGTGTGCCACTGTACTCCAGTCTGGGCGACAGTAAGACTCCACCTCAAAAAAAAAGTGGCCAGGCTCAGTGACTCAGCCTGTAATCCCGTGCCTTTGGGAGACTGAGGTGAGTGGATTGCCTGAGCCCGCAAGTTCGAGACCCGCCTGGGTATTGAGACCTCATCTCTACAATAAATAAAAAAATCAGCTGGCGTGGTAGCACATGCCTGTAATTCTGGCTACTCAGAAGGCTGAGGTGGAAGGATCGCCGGAGCCCAGCAGGTGGAGGCTGCGGTGGCCGGGAGCGGCCACTGCACTCCAGTCTGGGCGACAGAGTGAGACTCCAACTCAAAAAAAAAAAAAAAAAGTCATTCATTCACCAGATATTTGTTAAGGGTATACTACCTGCCACAATTTTTAAAACTCCTTAAAGTGCTTGCATTCCAGAGCCTGCATCTCGGAGGAAAGCAGATTTCCTCAACACAGCACACAGAAGGCCTTCACTTGAACTTTAGCCCATTTAAAATTACTGTTAACAAGAGCCCTCAGGGCACAATGCTTTAGTGAACTACTTACGCATAGTGGAAGCCAATGTCATGGTTACCAGCAACTACCTTCAGCTGCACATGACTTGGATGTCTGAACATTTTCTGAAACCGAGCCACATCATCCGCCCAGGCCTGAAGGAAATAACATCTACTGAGAGCCAGAGAACCTACCTTCCCTGTGACTAAAAAAACATGACCCCTGTTTGGATGGGAGAAGTTGATTCCCCCGTCCAAACCAGTTGCCCATAAAGTTAATGTAGAACTTTGAATTCTTAATTACATATGATACTTTTTCTACGATTACAGCTAATACTTCAGATTATTTAATTTGCTGCCAAATTTTAATCAAATAGTATCCTCCTCCATTTTAAAGACATAACTGACAATCCCCCAAAATATTCTGTTTATATACCTATTGTTTCAAGATCCCCCAAAAGCCATGCATGGACCCCAGGTTGAAAACTGCTTCAGATCTAGACATGCTGTAAGTACGAACTCTTAGAAAGTGTCCAGAAAACTTTTCATGTGTCTCAACCAAGACAAGGATGAGAACATCTTCAAAGTCAGCAACCCCTAAGGCTACGATGGTGGAAATGAGAACTAATGAGATGTTAAAAAAAGGCAAAAAAATTTACTGTAATGTTTCAAGATTATTCTGATATTTGTGTTATTTTTAAGCTTCAGAGTTATGTTAGTATAGTGCTTAGTTTTATAAGCCTAAACGTATCAACCGGACAAACACCCCAAGCTGGGTAAAAACATCTCTGTTCTATAAAGTAATCAACCTTGCCTTAAAATTTTAAATATGGCACAACCTAGGGAGACACGTTGGCTAGGAAGTCTTTCAATACATTTACAAAGATTCCACTTTGACAATTAACAGTTAAAGCCAGAATAACATAAAATCAAAATAACAAACTTAGGAAGACATTAAATGTTGCCCTTAATTTACAAAAGCAACAGATACATCTAACTTCCTTCAATAACTAGTTGCTCTTTACATATAGCAGGTTCCATTGCTCACATTTAATTGTAGCCTAGATCATAACAAACATTGCAACTCTGTAAACAGTGGGATCCTAGCAAATCTGAACCAAGACTTCCTTTGTGTAGCTATTGGACTGTCCTGGGAAATGCCTATGAAGTTTTAAAAAATATCTCCCAAATAAAATCCCTTCTGAAAACCTTTAGGGACTGAACATCATTCACTAAGTAGCAAGAACAGTTCCTGCTTTCATTCATTCCAAGAATGTAATAAGCCAAGCACTGTGACAGCTAAGGTGAAAACAACCTTTCTCCTGGGTTTACGAAAGGCTTATGTTACCCCAATGCTCAGGCAGGAGTCTCAGCCCCCTGAGAGCAGAGAAATTTCACACTAAGTCTTCACGGATCCCTCTTCACCTCTCACTCAGAAGACAGTCAGAGGAGAGTAGCAAGTAATCTTTGTAGCACAGTTCTCATAATGTAGTGGCTAAATAAAAGTGTGGCGGAGGCGAGGGGATTACCTGAGCTCTTGGGTTCGAGACCCGCCTGGGCAACTTGGCGAGACCTCATCTCCACAATAAATCAAAAAATTAGCCGGGCATGCTGGCATGAACCTGTGGTTCCAGCTACTTGGAAGGCTGAGACAGAAGAATCACCTGAGTTCAGGGGGTCGAGGCTGCATGGTGGCCAGAAGCATGCCACTGCACTCCAGCCTGGGCGACAGAGTGAGACTCCCAACTCAAAAAAATTAAAAATAAAAATAACAAGAGTGTAGGTTGGGCACAGTGGTGCACGCCTATAATCCCAGCACTCTAGGAGGCCAAGGTAAGAGGATTGCCTGAGCCCATGGTTTCAACACCAACCTGGGCAACTTGGCGAGACCTCATCTCTACAATAAATCAAAAAATTAACTGAGTGTGTTTGCACAAGCCTGTAGTTCCAGCTACTTGGAAGGCTGAGATGGAAGGATCGCCTGAGCCCAGGGGGTCGAGGCTGCGTGGTGGCCGTGAGTATGCCACTGCACTCCAGCCTGGGCGACAGAGTGAGACCCTGACTCAAAAAACAAATAAAAATAAGAGTGTACATTCAATGGCCATTTCAACATGCATTCTGTAATTTTGGTAACAACTGGAAATAGCATCCATCTTGCCTGTTTTTCCCTTTCCCAAGAAGTTCACAAGACAGTGCATTGCAACCAAATGATGTCTGGCTAATCCACGCATTTGCTAAATAGACAAACATAAGATTAGCCAGCCTAACTCAAGATTAGCGTTAGACACACATCCTAAAAATTCTCGAGATAGACTATGCATTTTATGTCAGTACTAAGCAAAGCGTCCAGCTTGAGCTGGTGGTGCCTCATAGATTTCCTGGACTGGATGGTCCCTCAAAGCAGGATGAGGGGCCTGGATCACAGGGTCCTACCTGGGCAGAGCTCCATTTTCCTTCATCAAAGATATCCCCCAGAATGAAGACAACTTCTGGCTGCAGCAACCACAGCGCCGTCTGGAAAGCTCTCTCCATTTGCCATTCCCTGGAGGCCAAGAGGAAGATAGAAGGCGTCAGCCTCTTTCTTGCATGGAGGCCACTTCTGTCTTAAGAGCCATTAAAAAGGTGAACTGAAGCCGGGCTTGGTGGCTCAGCCTGTAATCCCGCGCCTTTGGGAGGCTGAGGTGAATGGATTGCCTGAGCCCGCGGGTTCAAGACCCGCCTGGGCAGTGAGACCTCATCTCTACAATAAATCAAAAACTCAGCCGGGTGTGGTAGTGCATGCCTGTAATTCTGGCTACTGGGAAGGCTGAGGCGGAAGGATCGCCGGAGCCCAGCAGGTCGAGGCTGCGGTGGCTGGGAACGGCCACTGCACTCCAGTCTGGGCGACAGAGTGAGACTCCAACTCAAAATAAAATAAAATAAAATAAAAAGGTGAACTGAATGATCCCAGGCTCCTTCCTGACGAGCCTCTCGCACCCCAGGCTTGGAAGGGCCGAGTCTGTATCTGACTAAATGTGGGGAATTAATTAGCATAATACTATAAGAAGGGGATTGGCAGTAGTGGGAAACTGCCAGGGGAGAGGGGGTGGGATTGGCAGTTGAGGGAAACTGCCAGGAAGGGAGGGGCACACCTCATCAACAAGGGTATCTGCATAATAAATATTTGTATATCTAACCCCGAATTGTACTCCACATCTTTAAAATAAAAATGAAAAGATGTGGGGAATTAAATACCGAATGAGAGTCAGCCCCCTTCCCAACACACCTCTAACAGTCCAACACTGACTTCCTCTACATGGTGTCCCAGACCCCACACTGTTCCCCAAAGCCGTCACTCAGTTAAGAGAGCCCCAGGGATTTGAGGGCATCTAATGCAGCTCCCAGAGAGTCCCAATGTAGACTGAGTTTGCACCATACAGAGAAGGTGATAGTATCTAGCTCAAGTTTCACTTCTTACAGGGACTTAAACTTCCTTCTTTGCTTCAGAGTCGGGGGAGACAACGAGAGAAACAGACTGGCCAATATCAGATTAGTAAACCCTGTAGATTTCAGAAAGACAAGGAATCATCCCAAAGATAAGATGAGCAAACGAAAAGAGCCTGGGATCTGCAACTGACAGGCAATGGCTTAAAACCCCAGCTCCACGTGTTGACAGGCTGTGGCCTGGAGAACACTGCCTACTCTGACTTCTGGTTTCTTCACTGGTAACACCTACTTGCACAGGATATGTATGGGAATTGAAAAATTCCCAGCACAGCACAGGCATATGGCGGGTGCTCAAAAACACCAATGCTTGGTCAGCCTTCCCACGCTTCAACCTAAGCAACTCCAGCCCATGTCGTTTTCCTAAGGATCACAAATCTATCCTCCTTTTTAAGCATTCTTCTAGCTGCACTGCCCCACAAAAGGAAAATGTTATGTTCTTGGATACATAACTAGGGGAGGCTGGGTGCAGTGGCTCATGCCTGTAATCCCAGCACTTTGGAAGGCCAAGGTCAGAGGATCAGTAGAAGCCAGAAGTTCAAGACCAGCCTGGACACATAGCGAGACCCCCCAACTCTACAAAAAAATTTTAAAAGTTAGGTGGGCGTGGTAGCTGGTACCCCATCGATGACTTCTGGTAGGCCCTAGAAGCCAGGAGGGGGTAGCAGCCCACATGTCCATCAACAGGAAAATGGACAAGCAAAACGTGGCCCATACATGCAAGGTCTATACGAAAGAAGGAAATTCTGGCACATGCTGCGCGGATGGACCTCGAGGACATTATGCTAAGTGAAAAAAGTCAATCACAAAGGGACAAATGCTGTATGATTCCACGTGTATGAGGTACCCAGAATGGTCAAATTCACAGAGATGGGAAATAAAACAGAGATTGCTGGAGCCTGGGACGGGGGCTGGGAAAGAAAGAATGAAGATTCAGTGTTTAATGGGTGCAGAATTTCCGTTCAGGAAGAGAGTTCTGGAGATGATGGTGATGGCTACACAAGACAAATGCACCTGATTCAAAAATAATTTTGGCTGAGCACAGCAGCTCAAGCCTGTAATCCCAGCATTTTGGGAGGCTGAGGCAAGAGGATTGCCTGAACCCAGGAGTTCGAGACCAGCCTGGACAACTTGGTGAGACCTTGTCTCTACGATAAATCAAAAAATTAGCCGGGCATGGTGGTACATGCTTGTGGTTCCAGCTACTTGGAAGGCTGAGGCGGAAGGATCGCCTGAGCCCAGCAGGTGGAGGCTGCAGTGGCCAGGAGCATGCCACTGCCCTCCAGCCTGGGTGACAGAGTGAGACTCCAACTCAAAAAATAAACAAATAAAAATTTTAAAAATAATTTTAAAATGAAAAGACTTTCTGATGGAAAAACAGATGGACCATGCAGGGGCAGGTCTGAGTGGGAGAAGGACCTGGCCCTTCCCCAGGAGGCAGCCACAAACCTGCCCTGTTCCTCTGCTGTCCAGAGAAGGCAAAAAACCAACTGGCTCGGAATTACACACCGGCATAAGTGAGAGGACCAGCAGCACAGTCTGTGTTCTCCCTGCCAGGGCACCACTCCCAGGTGCTGGCCAGTGCTGGTATCTTCTTCTTATCTTAACCCAGTTTCAAGCAAGGAAGCAGAGGCTCAGGGGGGCCCTAGTTACTTGACGCAGTCACAAAGTTATCAGTGGTCCAGACCTGATCCCAAATTATGAGGCCCTGTATATATATAGATATAGATATACAAATACATATATATAATGTATGTATATGTGTATGTAGGTATATATATATATATATATATATCTCCAGGAAAGTCAAAGTCAAATACCCTAAATGTCCTTCCTTGAGAGAATAACTAAGAGGAATCTAAAGCTATCAAGCCTGACCTGTGGAGAAAGGGTTATATCTTTTCCCTACAGAATTTCAGAAGAGTTCCTGATGTTACTTCTCACCTTCGTAATTTGTCTAGCCAGTGGCCTTGGACTTCCCCAAGCAGGTGAGTATCAGCCAGAAACATGGCTTTCAGCACAGGATCAAGTGTGGCTCGTTTGCCATCAGAGGCTGGAGTTTTCACCTCAGGCCAATGACACCGAAAGATCACTAAGTAATAGATTAAAAATTCACAAAACAGAAGCACAGCAAAGACAATAGCTACGAGTCTCAACAGCAACAAACTCCTCTTCTTCAGTGGACGAAAATACTGCCTTCTAAGCCCCGGTCTGATCATAGCTATTTCTCCAGCCCAGGAGTTGCCAGCAACCAGGAGTCCAATCCATCAAGAGTTCACCATAAGAAAACTGCAGAATGCTGGGTAGCAGAGGGTATTCGCATCTCAGTCATGTATCTACAAGGAAAAGTAAGAGAGGTGGGTTTGTTGTTTAATAATGCCAGTATCACCACCTCCCTCTGTGAAGAACTAATGATTGCAGCATCCTACCTACATTCCCAAATAAATTGTCTTGTACTCTTACGATGATGATATGCCAGGTTACTAATAAGGAAAACAGCTGACCCCTTCGCCTCCTCTGAGGTCTCTATGCCTCCACATGCCAGAATAATGAATAGAATGATCTTCCCACTAAGGTGATAAAATTGTTATAAGACGCTAGAAACCATCAAACGGGAGCCTATCAGAAGGATGAGGGTAAAGGTAGGAGACAGAATGAGAAAATTCAACAAACATTATGTAAGCCTAATTTGACATCCTGAAGGTTAATTGCCAACCCCCATGACCTCAAAATGAGCTTGCCATAATGCGTTGCCTTTTGTCTGAACTCATCACTTTTTCTACTTTGCTTTTCCACAAAAGAAATGAATATTTATGGACAATGTGCTTTGAAGATCCAGGAATTCATTCTACATTGGACTCAGAGATTGGGATCCAAAAAAAGCCACCATCTATGATTGTGAATATTGAACACTACAACTAGACGATATGTTTTCACAAAAACGGGCTCCCCCTGCAAGTTAGCTTTGAAATTCTAGGTGGCCTTCTTTTAAAAGACTTTCATGTGCAGTGGCTTCTCTAAGGGAATATTCAAAATGTTTACAGATTCATCCCAAATCTTAGATGAGCTTTGCCTCCTGTAAAAAAAAAAAAAAAAAAGCATCTATTTTTGAGACCTCTGGGGAGGAAAGCTGGTGAAAGGCTGCCTGAGACACGCTACATACAGTAAGTGGTGTTCTGCTACCAGGTTCCTCAGCTTGTGCTCAAGATGAGAATCTACAATGGCAGTGACCTTCCCAAGGAAGCATAGAACACTCAGGTGTCAGAGAGGCACTGAAGTCTTGTGGGGTGGGGGGTCTATGGGAGACAGACTAGAGACCCTAAATGGGCAAGTAAAGAAAGAAAATCTTCTTCCCAGGAAGTGGGTTTCTAACATGAATCTAGGAACTTCATATCATTATTGAGCATGGAGTCAAGAACAACCTCTAAAATCATCTTTGTGAAATTCAGTCTTCAGAACCGTACACATTTGCACACGGAAATTAAGACTAACCCTCAGTCCTATCAAAGCCACTCATTTGTTCCACAGTAGTGTTCTATAGTGAGCAACCATTATGTTACGGAAACAATTTTAAATCCTACCTCAAGAAAGATAAGTAGGGGGTGAACATGTACCTTGAGCCATCATCAGAAGTTTAAAATTTAACTGAAAGATACCTTCAGAAATTGGTAAATGAGGCAATCTTTTCGTGATATTAAAATGGAGCACTGGCAATTGGTATGTTGTACTACTAAGAACTCAGTGCCATTTGTGACTCTTCTGAAGAAGATGCAAATCTAGGAAAGGGTGAAATGGATGCCCCTAAAGATTGTGTCCTTAGTCAGGCATGGTGGCTCATGCCTATAATCTCAGCACTTTGGGAGGCTGAGGTGAGAGGACTGCCTGACCCCACGGGTTCCAGTCCAGCCTGGGCAACTTGGTGAGACCTCATCTCTACGATAAATTGAAGGAAACCAGAGCATAAGCTGACAAGGTCTTTATGTTTCTTGGCTTGTGTTCAAGGAACCAAGCCTATATTTCCTTTGTCTCCCCTGACCTTTGGTTGTTATTCCATGAAGAACACAGCAGAGTCATGCCTAGTCCAGAGGCTGCCTGTCTTAAGGGATTGCCTTGCTTTTAACTTAGCATAGATGTTAAGATAAGCATAGTTTAGACATTAACATATATCTTTTTTGTTTGTTTGTTTGTTTTTGAGTTGGAGTCTCACTCTGTCGCCCAGACTGGAGTGCAGTGGCTGGCCACGGCCACCTGCAGCCTCGCCTACTGGGCCAGGTGATCCTTCCGCCTCAGCCTTCCAAGTAGCCCCTCAGCCTTCCAAGTAGCCGGAATTACAGGCATGCGCTACCACGCCCAGCTGATTTTTTTTTTAATTCATTGTAGAGATGAGGTTTCGCTGCCCAGGCGGGTCTCGAACCCTCGGGCTCAGGCAATCCACTCACCTCAGCCTCCCAAAGGCACGGGATTACAGGCTGAGCCACCGAGCCCGGCACAACATATATCTTGCTTGTGTGGTTTTGCCCTCCCTCATGTGATTTTTTCCCTATATAAGAGGCATGTGGTGAAAATAAATGTGCTCTCTCTCACTCCATACCTGGGAGAGAGTCCTCCCAATCCCACTGTTTCTGTCTCTTTCTTTCTCATTCCCTCCCCCCACCTCAGGCCCTGCTCAGTGGAGGCCGGAACTCTGCAATAAATCAAAAAATTAGTCAGGCATGGTGCTGTGTGCCTGTAGTTCCAGCACCTGAGCCCAGCATGTCGAGGCTGCAGTGGCCGGGAGCAGCCACTGCACTCCAGTCTAGATGACAGAGTGAGACACTAACTCCAAAAAAAAAGAAAGACTGTCTCCTTGGGACTCTGTCCTGGGGACTGCCCATGATTTCTCTGAATCTGAATGCCATTAAGTACTTGATTAAAAAGGGAGCAGTAAACAAATGTGAGATTTTAAGTATGTCCTTTCAGACAGAGAAGTCCAAGCAGCCTTGTACACTAGCTGGAATCAACTGTTTTTACTGGATACTCCTCAGAAAACCCACATCTTTACCAGTGGGACCCCAGTACATAAGCAGGTTCATACAGTACCTCATCCTCTCCACTTAGAACTTCCTCAGTGTCTGCATGGTGGCTCACGCCTATAATATCAGCACTTTGGGAGGCCGAGGTAAGAGGATTGCCTGAGCCCACGGGTTCGAGACCAGCCTGGGCAACTTGGTGAGATCTCGTCTCTACAATAAATCAAAAAATTAGCCAGGCGTGGTGGCGCGTGCCTGTAGTTCCAGCTACTTGGAAGGCTCAGGTGGGAGGATCACCTGAGCCCAGCAGATTTAGGCTGCGGGAGCTGGGAGCGTGCCACTGACCTCCAGCCTGAGAGACAGAGTAAGGCTCCAACTCAAAAAAAAAAAAAGAACATCCTCAGTTCACCTGTTTTCTCTAATGTCAAACCATACATGCCACATCACCAGAACAACCATATACATCTATCTTCCAACGGGGGACACTTTTGAGAATGAGAAGTGGCACAAATAAAAACAGGGTAATACCTCATGATCTCACTTCTAAGTGGGAGCAAAACTAAGGATTCGCAAAGTATAATGAACACTGGTGACTCAGAAGGGGGAGGGGTGGAGGGATGGAAAACTACCTATCAGGTGCAAAGCGCACAGGTCGGGCGGTGGGTACACTTAAAAAAAACTATTTGCACTCCCTAAGGCTATTGAAATAAAGAAAAAGTTAAAAAAAAACCCCAAAAAAACAGGACAATGACATAAACCAGAACTGGCCCAGGCAATTCAGGTGTGCAGCCACCATGGGCATAACTCCACCCTAAATTACCAAGTGTGAAATCAGACACAGACGAGGGGGAAGCAGCAATACCTGCTTGCTGTCATCCACTGATCTGCAACCAAACTGCAGAACAATCGCAAAAATGTTAGTAGCCATGCACCAGTGTAATGGAGGGGATGGAGCCTCTGCTTGGCTGATAATCAGAAAAAAGAGGAAAGAGAGAGTCTGTGGAATAACAAATACATTCCCTCACACCCTCCAATTTTCTTTGTTCTGATTAAATCAAATATATCAAAGTCAACCACTTGATCCTCATGTCTCATTTTTCTTCAAAGGGCCTAGAATCACCTAAAATCCTAAAAGCGAAGCCCAAAACAGTAGTTGAAACTTTCTGTAAGAAAGGGATTGACAGGCCGGGTGCGGTGGCTCAGCCTGTAATCCCAGCACTGTGGGAGGCCAAGGTGAGAGGATTACCTGAGCCCAGTGTTTCGACCAGCCTGGGCAACTTGGTGAGACCTCGTCTCTAGAATAAATCACAAAAACTAGCCAGGTGTGGTGGCCTGCATCTGTAGTTCCAGCTACTTGGAAGACTGAGGCGGAAGGATAGCCTGAGCCCAGCAGGTCAAGGCTGTGGTGGCCGTGAGCATGCCACTGCACTCCAGCCTGGGCGACAAGAGTGAGACTCCAACTCAAAAAAAAAAAAGGAAGGAATTGGCATGAGCAGGATACTGCCAGGGTTGGGGGTAGAAGGGAACACAGCATCAATAAGGGTACCTGATCTCAAACCAGGCAAAGTGGGGACCAAAGGGAGGCCCAACTTTACCTGAATGATGCCCACTTGAATACCTAATCCTGAATTGTGACTCGGACCTACAATCCCAGCACTTTGGAAGGCTGAGGCCAGGGAATTGCTTGAGCCCAGAACTTGGAGACCAGTCTAGGCAACATAGTGTAATTTCTACAAAAATATCTACCCTACATCTTTAAAATAAAATATATTAGTAATAAAAAAAACTCATCAAAATGTAGGAGATAAAATAATGTCAGAAACCAAATAAAGCATCCAAACATTAAAAAAAAAAATAGAGGCCAGTCGCAGTGGCTCATAACTATAATCCCAGCACTTTGGGAGGCCGAGATGAGAGGATTGCCTGAACCCACAGGTTCGAGACCAGCCTGGGCAACTTGGCAAGACCACATCTCTACAATAAATCAAAAAATTAGCCAGGTGTGGTGGCACGTGCCTATAGTTCCAGCTACTTGGAAGGCTGAGACAGAAGGATCTCCTGAGCCCAGCAGGTTGAAGATGTGGTGGCCGGGAGCATGCCACTGCCCTCTAGCCTGGGTGACAGAATGAGACTCCAACTCAAAAAAAAGAAAAAGAAAGAAAGAAACTTTCTAAAACCTTGTTTCCTCCTAGTTGAGAGGGAAGAATCCTGACCTAGAGTTGGGCTTAGGATTCTTTTCTGTGCATGCCTTTACAATTTTATTGTCTCAAGTTTCCCAAAATGGAATACCAGAATGACAACTTGTTAATTGCTCTTCTGCATCCACTCCCTTGTTTGAGCAGCCATGACCAAGAGGAGCAAGAAATACCAGGGAGGGGTGAGCAGGCTGGGGACAAGGCAGGTGACTCTGCCCACAGACACAGTCCGAGGTGGGGCTGGGCATGATGAGACACAAAACTGCAGGGCTCCAGCTTCCCTGGACCAAAAGAGTAGGACAAAAGGACACAGAGACGAGCTATAGGGTTGCACTTCCAAGCAACCTGAGCCCCGCCTGACCCTGACACTCCCCAATGGCCACCTGGAAGGAGGGCCACCCTGCAAACGTCTATGTTCTTTTTTCCAAAAAAAAATTTTAAAATATCCTACAGGGAGCCATCCAACTAGAGGAGGACCTCGAAGGAAAGAAGGAGGGAGGAGAGAAGGAAAAAGTGCAGAGAGCGCAAGCAAGCCAGCTGTGCTGCCACGTTTTCTTCAAAAAACCCTAATCCCTAGCCGGCTCGGTGGCTCAGCCTGTAATCCCGGGCCTTTGGGAGGCTGAGGTGAGTGGATTGCCTGAGCCCGCGGGTTCGAGACCCGCCTGGGCAGGCAAGACCCCATCTCTAGAATAAATCAAAAAAAATCAGCCGGCGTGGTAGCGCGTGCCTGGAATTCCAGCTACTTGGAAGGCTGAGGCGGAAGGATCGCAGGAGCCCAGCAGGTTGAGGCTGCGGTGGCAGGGAGCCGCCACTGCACTCCAGTCTGGGCGACAGAGTGAGACTCCAACTCAAAAAAAAACAAAACCCTAATCCCATGTGGATCAGTCTCTGGTGTAACATAATCATTTTTTAAAAATAACAGAGTGGGCTGGACTCAGTGGCTCAGTCTGTCATCCCAGCACTTTGGGAAGCCGAGGTGAGTGGATGGCCCGAGCCCGCGGGTTCGAGACCAGCACCAGCAATTTGGCAAGACCTCATCACAATAAATCACAAAAATCAGACGGGCATGGTGGTGTGCATCCGTAGTTCCGGCTACTTGGAAGGCTGAGGTGGAAGGATCGCCAGAGCCCAGCAAGTTGATGCTGGGGTGGCTGTGAGCGTGCCACTGCACTTCAGCCTGGGCGACAGAGTCAAAAAAAGACTCCGACTCAAAAAAATAAAAATAAATAACAGGGTAAAAATCATATCTGGAAAACTCCTGACATTAGATCCTTAAACAGAATTCCTTTTGCTCAAATCTTGGAAAATGTTTCTTCCTTTTCCTAAGAATTACTGAATTAGTATTCTTACGGTTATCTTCAATGTTATGGGCAAAACATGCCCCTTTCTCCTCCTGAAATGAAGACAGAATAATTTGTTGAGCTGAGGAGGTGGCAGAAGGGATCCATTCTCTCCCTGGAAATGGCACCAGCAGGGCCATCAAGCCATTCAACGCCATGCTTTAGGTAATATCGAATACCTGTTTTATATATAAAACACAGAAACAACATCGTGTCTATACTGCCCAACATAGTTGTCGTTGCGTTCCAGCAGAGAAGTCGTTGTGTTCCAGCTGCGTTCCAGCAAGGCCCAGTGGCTCACACCTATAACCCCAGCACTTTGGAAGGCGGAGGTGGGAGGATTGTTTGAGCCCAGGAGTTGGAGACTGTCTGGACAACATAGTGAAATCTCTACCAAAAGAAAATCAGAAAATTAGCCGGTAGGGTGGTGTGTGCCTGTAGGTCCCAGCTACTGGGCAGGCTGAGGTGGGAGGATTGCCTGAGCCCAGGAAGTCCAGACTGAGGTGAGCCATGATCATGTCACTGCACTCCAGCCTGGGTGACAGAGTGAGACCTGACTCGGAAAAAAAAGAGTAACAGCTGCAATCCATATTTGGGAGCAAACATTTTCTCTTTGAATTTTTAACTTCCTTAAATATCTAAATCTCCCCCCAAACAGCATGGAAAAAAATTAATATTTAATATGCACCGACCTGTAGCTTTTTTTCTCTCACTTGTTCATTATCTTATCACAATCTCATCAATGGCTATTTGCGTCTGAAATTTTTCATTTTAAGTGTTTTGTTTCAGTTTTTGTTTTTGAGTTGGAGTCTCACTCGGTCGCCCAGACTGGAGTGCAGTGGCCGCTCCCGGCCACCGCAGCCTCGACCTGCTGGGCTCCGGCGATCCTTCCGCCTGTAGCTGGAACGACAGGCGCGCGCTCCCACGCCCGGCTAATTTTTTTGATTTATTGTAGAGATGAGGTCTCACCAAGTTGCCCAGGCGGGTCTCGAACCCGCGGGCTCAGGCAATCCACTCACCTCAGCCTCCCAAAGCGCTGGGATTACAGGCTGAGCCACCGAGCCTGGCTTAAGTGTTATTTTTAAATAAGATTTTTTTTTCCCAAGCTACTCCCACACCCTAATACATGGGTCTTACGTAATCGAGATTTTCCCGCGAGTGATCTCCAGGTGCTGTTTTTCAGTGGGTTAACTTGCGATCCCAAAGGGGCCAGAAAGTTCCATTTCGCAGAAGGCAAAGCAAAGCCCCCCGGCGGAGTTCCGGCGAGGCAGTTCACCTGTCCCCGAGAGGCAGCTCTCGTGGGCGGAGGGACCCCAGGCGCCGCGCAGCCTGCCAGCTTCCCGGGGAG